ATAAGGTATAGTTAATATTCCATCCCGATTCAGATCAAGCTAAAACTAATAAGCTGTTTCAAGAAAACCATACAGTTGGTTTAAGCTACTTATTTGTACGAAATATAATTTAAAAAACACGAAATCACACGTATTTCTTTGGGCCTGCACTTTTTATGCTCAAACAACTGCACCTTGATTAAAGTATGGCCATTAAAAAGTAAATGAATATGGTAAATACATAAAGAGAATCTTCGATTCCTAAAAATCCATATGACTTAAATGTTCTTAACCCTCACACAGTTCCGAAGAGATATTGTGAGATATTTGATTATCTGAGATATTGTGTTCCGAAGTCCGAATGGCGACGTTAGGAAGATGGGAAAGTCCAGATGTTTAAACGTGGAGATATATTAACTCACTTAGCAACCACCGAACTATTATTGGACTGATATTATTGGAAACACTTTGAGAGGTCTAATGCGTATATACTACCATTTTGGAAATCTATATCAACTATGAATTTGATAAACAAAAGCCTACAATCCAAAATTTTGTGTAAGTTAAATATTTACTTAAATTAGAAAATTAGCTATCAAATGTATGTAAGCTAGAAATCACTAGTCATTATCATTGCTAGAAATCATCTTTGGTCAACAAAACCTTTAAGATTAAAATAGGTGAATCATTAAGATCCATAAGTAGGTTTACAGGTATTTCTTAGGTTGCTAATAGCAGTAATAGTCAACAGGTAGGTTGCTAACAGTATGCCCCTTTAGCTATTTACGGTAGCTAGTCAATGCTATTACTAAACATAAAGTTTGTCTTTGATCATCATCGCTAATCGTATTACTTTGTACATAGTAACTATGTTCTTTCAGTTTCAGGGTTTAATCTGTTTCTATTTGTCATCAACCACGATGTGTTGGCCTATTTCTTATTACAATGATTTATTTTTTATCAACCTTAAGTGACATTTTGTTGTAAACTTTAGCCTCTCAGTCTTGCAACCATATGAACAAATTTTGACACGTTATTCAGCATGTCAAAAGAAACAAAAAATGTTGCATAACATGTCTCCTATCGCATTCCGTTTTCGATCTATTTGTCTGTAGGTGATTTTTAAAAAGATATTCACAACGTATTAACTGTTTGAGCTACATCGTTTTAAATTCTGTAACAACGTTTATCTTATTAACCTCTATGTTTGTGAAGAAAATGGATAAAAACTTTTCAACCGTTTCAAAATGGCAGCTTCTAAAAATATCTGATGCCAAATTCCATAAAAACAGCTTATTTTACAAAATATTTGCAAGGGATGTAAAATCTAGTAAATTTCATGCAGATTTTAAAAGGTATCTTATAAGCTTACTTTAAACTAAGAATAACTGAGAAATTTATTTTTATTCTTATCATACCTACAGTAGTTTTTCATTTTAAACAATGTTAAACTGATAAACCTACTTTTTAACAGAGTTTAGGGGGAGAAACAAAATAATTTTTGTATTAAGTTTTTTGTTTCTTTTTACATGCTAAATAACGTGACAAAGTTTATATGGTTGCAAGACGCCCTTTATATGACGTGTTTAGCAGTGAGCACCTCTTTACCTACAGTCGATAGTTACTCTATTGACAACAACTCAATTAATCTAGCTAACATGCTAATTCAACCCACCCCCACCACATCAACAGAACAGGTGACAGTTCTCACTGCGTTATAGTGCATCCACACGCTCAGTAATATATTTGTACTAACATACCTTTTTCCTGGGCATTTTTTTCACGAAACTCTAACCCCATAGATAAAAAGCTGACATTTTGGATTCTTTGGTTTATACAGAGTGTCCCGAAACTCTCTACCAATATTTTAGGGCATTGTTCCTGGGTAAGAAACATATCTAAATATCATATTTAAATTGTCCGGAAGTCCTTAGTTACTCAGATAGCCGCCATTTTGTTTTTTTCACTAATTAATTTTTCTTCTGAAAATTGGTTGAACATACGAAGTTGAAACTTTGCACAAACATTTATGACAACTAGACAAAGCTACAAAAAAATTATGAAGATTTTTCAAATTCATAAAACAAAATGGCGGCTGTTTAAAATTTTGTTTCTTGAATTACTCGAAAACCGTTGATTTTACAAAAATTTTACAAGAATAATTTTTTTAAGGCAATTTTATAACTAATCGATCGACACCTTAATCTTTAAGATCGGACGAGTATTAACTGAGATATGGCAATTTTAGTGATACGTGACCGCTGGATATTAGTTGCAGCGCATGCTGAAAGCGGTCACGTATCACTAAAATTGCCATATCTCAGTTAATACTCGTCCGATCTTAAAGATTAAGATGTTTATCGATTAGTTATAAAATTGCCTTAAAAAAGTTATTCTTGTAACATTTTTGTAAAATCAACGGTTTTCGAGTAATTCAAGAAACAAACTTTTAAACAGCCGCCATTTTGTTTTATGAATTTGAAAAATCGTCATAATTTGTTTGTAGCTTTGTCTAGTTGTCATAAATGTTTGTGCAAAGTTTCATCTTCGTATGTTTAACCAATTTTCAGAAAAAAATTAATAAGTGAAAAATCTAAATGGCGGCTATCTGAGTAACTAAGGACTTCCGGACAATTTAAATATGATATTTAGATATGTTTCTTACCCAGGAACAATGCCCTAAAATATTGGTAGAGAGTTCCGGGACACCCTGTATATATAACACACTTTTTATATCAACATAATTATTTATTGCGACTCATTACCAGTAGAATGTGTGACTCTCATAAAAATAATTAGCTTACAACTAAGAGTGCATAATTTAGCTGTATACAAGTCTTGATATCAGAAGTGTACCACCCCTTAGACCAGAAAATCTGTAAATTGATAGTTCAACTAATTAAAATAAACAAAATTCACATGAGAAGAATTTGATTTAATTGTTTCTATATAAATAATAAAAAAACTTGTTTACCTTTTAATGCACCTGTTGTCCACTTTTTTTAATTAATTAATAAATAGCTAATCTAAATGCATAGGGGAAAATGTAGGAGCAAATAGGTGAAATTTAGTTACTGTTTTTCTGCCAAAAACATTTATTACGGTGTATTCTTATTTTTAATATCCATATAATTCCTTTGCGGAGCATAATATACCTTAACCCAACCTCGTATACTTGCTATGATGCATAATAATAAGTATTGACTTCATTAAACTGAGTAATATATCTCAAAACAGATCAATTATATAATAATTTCAATTATCCATCAAATTAGGACTAACAAATCAAAAGAGTTGTTTGATACCTAAAAGTCTTGATCCGTATTGAATACATTAACAATTGGTTTTATTAATAAGTAATATAGTTTATTATCAACTTTTATTAAATTTTTTGTGACTTGAGTAATTTAAACTTTATGACTGGGTAGCCGTGGATGAAGATGTCGTCATTGATCGGGTATTAAGGAAGCCCTTTAATGTGGTTCATAATATTGGTCTAAAAAATAAATATAGAAATGGAATTAAAAAATCAGAAACTGAAGTTTTAGAAATTAAAAATCAATACTTTCAGCTGACAGTGTGTAAGAGTGTTGCCTGTCAGATGTAAGACCGCCCACAAATGGAGTCATTGCATTATTCATATGACGTGTACATTTCTGAGAAGGGTTTATTTGGCTGAGCAACTTCGCGGCGGACCAGTGAATGGTCCAAAGCTTTTATGAGAAGATATAGTACGTTAAAACCGTGTTAAAAGATGGTGCTAATACACATATTATTTGTAAAAACGCAGTTTTTCCCGTTTAGATATACTAATAAGTTAACTCAATAATTCCTTTACACTTGTTTTTTAATGCTTTACTATTATAAATGTAATAATAAAGTTAGTCTGCTAGCCTACTGTGTTATGTCGGTAGTTGAATACAATGTAAAAGTTAACAGCGCATGCTTCACAAGAAATTTAATGTTAATCTCTCTCACTATAGGGGGTAAATTAAGATTGATGGTTAATTACAGTTGATGTTGCCCTCTCTGTATCGATCAATTAAAAAGTGCACCATTTTACCTACCTTTGGCAATTAATTCTTAATAGTGAAATTTGATATTAGTAAGATTACATTTACCAACCAAATAAACCTATTTTTATAATATTTTATTTTTCATAACCTTAAGCTTTGACGTATTAAATTTAAAAATTCGTTATTTGAAGGCGTTGCATCTGTAAAGTCCATCAAACAAGCACAGTATAAAAACTGATTCGCTTATATTTAGAATTCAAACCATAAAGTCGTTACCGAAATAAAATAACGAAATAAATGTACAGTTAATTAGTTAAATCAGTTAATGATGAGGTCTGCTTTTTATTCTGTGCGCTGTCTGCGTTGGGTCAACACTAATTAGATAGCAACCATTAAACCATTACTAAAGAAGTTTAAACGTACTAGTTTTATTTTTATATTGCAATAATCTCCTTACTAAGGCTGTTTAAAATGGCAGAGACTCATTATTCACTAACTAACAACTACAAGTTCACAATTTGAAAAGAAACAGAGCAGCCAATGTTATATCGTACATTTCATACATTACGTTACTTACTGTAAAACTGTTGTTTTGTATTCAACAAAAAAATATTGCATTTAAACTAGAGGGTAAAAACTTACGTGCCTACAAGCCTTGAATAGCTGACCAGAAATGCACTGGGGCATGGATAAGATCGAACGTATGATTGGTTCATAAACTCAAGTTTTTGGAAAGAACGTGATCACGAGAAAAGCTATAAGTACTCCCGTTTTCCCCTTGATCAAGACACCTGCATAGCGATTCCAGGTAACCCAACCGCAACTCGAGGCTAGTTTTCCATTTATATATTTACTGACGAGAATGGATAAAATTTGAGATACTAAAAAGGTAGGGAGAGTAAACCAACATATCTCCAGCGTGTAGAAGATTCTCTAATATGAGGGTATTATTAGGAGGTGAAGTATCCTAGGGAAAAAGATTCCAGTCTTGACGTCTGCCAAATAATGGCTTCAGAGAATAACTCTTCGGAAGATTCATTCCGATCCATAGGTCTATCCTTGAAGGGAAGACATCCTCCACTATCAAGCCACTCCCATCTCAAACGACTACCTTTGAAAAAAGTCATCCTCATCAGTAAGTTTACCCTAATAGATAATACATCCCCCCCAAGGTATCCCAATATAGAGAAGAAGACGTTCACCTTAAGACATAACCTTCGGAGTACATCCCTGGGGAGAAAACACCCCTCACATAACTGCTTGGAGAGTGGCACCACTGTGAATTAATTTATCTTATTAAAATAAAATTATACTGTATAAGCCTTAGCAAAGTTCCTCTTTGGGAATATCTGTGAGGCGTTGGATAGAGCTTTTTTGGAACACTCATAAAACACTTTCATCAGATCCAACACCTACACTTTGTTATCTTTTTGTCGATAAACCATCATTATCAGCCAGTTATCTTGAAAGACACTTACATTTTTAATATAATAGCACTTATTCTCAATTAACTTACAAGATATTCATCATCAGGAACATAATGGTTGACGTACGATGAATAATCATTCATAAAGAAAACGCCTCAATATATTTTCCTTATTTGATTGCCAAAAGACTGTTTCCTGATATACGTAAATAAACAGTCATATGTTCTTCAATTGTTTTTTGGTTGAAAACAAATAATAGTTTCAGTGTGTTGTTGTGTGGAATGAAATAAAGAAGATGGTTTTTGTTCAAATTTATTTTGTCATTTTTTAATGTTTGATATTAAGTAATCGTCCGTGATATAAAAGTAATTGAATCACGTATAGTGACGATATCATGGTCACCAGCTCTTTTGAAATTAAGGAATGGTTTTAATTTTAGTACAAGTTTAACTAACATTATACAAGTTTTTTAATTTTTTTTATTGCGACAAAAATTTACAAATCAGTGTAAAAATAAGGAATTTCCTTAGGTAATTAGTTTGCATATTTAATATCCTCTAAGTATTTTCTGTTAAGAAGTCCAGTAACTGTATACAGGGTGTTGAAAATGTCTGGAACCAACATTATATCTCGTGAGTGGTTAAAGAAAAACAACTGATATTTTGTGTACGGATATACTATAGTTTTACCTATCTTTTAGTGCCTTATGAAAATTTTTACCACTTATAGGGAACGTCCTGTGGAGGATGCAGTAATAAGTTTAAATGGAAGCCTATGGTAAATGATACATCATTTTAAAGGCCATTTTTTTCTGAGTAAGGAGCCACAAGTTTCATCTCAAAAGGACCACCCTAGCAAAAATGACGACTGTTTGAAATTTAAATAACCACTTATAGGGAACGTTCTGTGGAGGATGCAGTAAAATATTTTCATTGAAGCCTATGGTAAATGATACATCATTTTAAAGGCCATTTTTTTTTAGTAAGGAGCCACAAGTTTCATCTCAAAAGGACCACCCTAGCGAAAATGGCGACTGTTTGAAATTTAAAAATTCCGTTCTCTATAAGTGGTTTTTTAAATTTCAAACAGTCGCCATTTTTGCTAGGGTGGTCCTTTTGAGATGAAACTTGTGGCTCCTTACTCAGAAACAAATGCCCTTTAAAATGATGTATTATTTACCATAGGCTTCCATTAACACTTTTTACTGCATCCTCCACAGGACGTTCCCTATAAGTGGTAAAAATTTGCATAAGGCACTAAAAGATAGGTAAAACCATAGTATATCCGTACACAAAATATCAGTTGTTTTTCTTTAACCACTCACGAGATAATGTTGGTTCCAGACATTTTCAACACCCTGTATACAGTTACTGGACTTCTTAACAGATAATACTTAGAGGATATTAAATATGCAAACTAATTGCCTAAGGAAATTCCTTATTTTTACACTGATTTGTAAATTTTTGTCGCAATAAAAAAAATTAAAAAACTTGTATAATGTTAGTTAAACTTGTATCCAAAGGCAAAGCATATAAATACTTCATTATCGTCATATTAGATCAAACAAAGATATTATTGTATGTTGGATTTTTAACATTGAAATGAACGAGCTACCTATTGTTACATGTATATCAATTTGTGGTTATAATTGAATCCAAATAAACTCTTAGACAATATGCAAAGCAATTCAAAACCAGATAATAAAAAAATAAGTCCAGTGCGGTCCTCATCCTTTAGTCGACGTCTCAGAAGCTCCCAGATTAAAACTGTCTTAGAACAAAATTAACGCCAAAAAGTACAAAAAACGAAACAAGTAACAAAAGTAAGTTAGGGTCGCACTCTCAAGATCTTGAGTCCATAAACTACAACAAGGCAGTAAGGAGCTTTAACGCTAAAAATACTTCGTAGTTCTTCGCATTGGTGTAGTTCATATTAGTTCAGATCTATATTTTACATTACGTACTATCCAAAAAGATTTTGCTTTGGTAATTACAAATAATCTCAACAAGACTTTTACAAGTCTGGAAACTATACCAATTCATATATTTATTCTATTTCATAAGATAACATCTAAGCCATATATCCCTTAAAACTTTACTACATACAATTGACTTATCTCGGGATGTTAGCTTAGTTTGATAACTTTTAATTTAACATCCAGTCGATCTCTGTAAAGCCTGTAGCGACAGATGAAGTTGTCTTAGCAAACAATTAATATTATTCTTGTTATTGTATTTTCCAAGTACACTTATAACTCTTCTGTTAAAATACATTATTTCTCTCTTATTTGTTTGTTCGTAAGTTGATTTGAAAAGACAAAAACAACCATGACCAAAAGCCCATGCTTTGATACCTTTTGTGCGACTTTTAAGAGGATATCGATACAAGTTACATTAGTATCATAGCCACCTCTAATACATGTATTAGAGGTGGCTATATTAGTATAGTAACCTAAACTCTACGGCTGGGATTTAAGCATTTACCCAGTTATGTAGTTTAACCATTATCACACAATTTATCATAATTTTTTGATGGAACATTATCATCAATCTATCATCATTACTTGGAAAATCTTGTGGTTGAAAAATACAAACACACTTTGTTCGACCTATAACAATACTTAAAACAGTACTTCTAACAATACTAACAATACCTATACAATACAGAATGTAAATAGAATGATTTTGTTTAAATAAATCAACACATATCTTTATAAATTATGCAGTCTATAATTGACGGACATTGTGGAGCTAATTTAACTATAGCATCAATTATACGTAAAATAATGAGCTGACGTGGTTCCGTTTTGATTGAAATTGAAATTAATTATCGTCGAAAAAAACAAAGCACACGAAATCAACTAATTGAGCTGGTGTTTTATAGTTTTTAGCGATACGCTTTCAAGGGTGAAGGATGTAATTATTATAATATAAATACGACAACAAAAATTGAGTTTTGTTTACTGTATCAAATGAAATTGAATATTCTACAGGAAAATAGCATTGGCTGTTTTGCTATTAAATGCTGTTAGAAGTGGTCTAAATTGCCTCATTATGAATGATAGATTTGGTTTGGATGGTGATTCTCATTGCATGGCCCACAGTCAACATGCTGTGTATATGTACTCTCGAACATACACACCCACTTATACATATCCAACGAAAATGTTTAGTTAGCCAATCGGCTATCTTTATTACGTTGTCAGTACAATAATATTTACATATAGTTGCGTAAGTTGAATTTAAAATCTTTTGCAGGGTGAAAATTAATGTATAGCCGACTTACAATGTACGTAAATTAACTAACTACAAATTGTAATATTGCTAAAATTAATTTAGTCTTCGTCCTTTCATTATTACGCTATTACAAGCTGTTACCTACGGGTTTCACCTCGTTTGACTTCACAAGTAATAACCCTATTGATTGGTTAAGTTAAGCTGAAATAAACAAATTAGAATACGGTAATACTGTACAAGCAAATAACTGATTTTAATAATGTAATAAATAGAAAGAATAAGATACAAATAAGTACAGCTGAGATTTTTTAACATTAGGTATATAGAAAGTTCCATTTAGAAAGGAATTACGACCTTAAAGGGCAAGTTAATAATTAATGGATAGTTTAGCGCAAGGTTTCTCATCATGACGAATATTTTAAGTATATGGTTTATGGGGGTGTGACTTGTAGTTTTCTCAAAAGATTATGGGTACCTACTTTGGGATTTTTGTATGGATTTGTTTTTGACAGTAGTATTGGGGAAAAGCAGCGATATTTGTAACTATCTTAAGTGTTAATAATATCAATAGTTAAAATCTATAATATCTATAAGTTTATAATATATTATGAGTTTAAAAGTTTATATTATCTATAATTAAAATGGATTTTTCAATTATTATAATGGCTGAACCAGTTTAATTTTTCTTCCTCCATACATACTGTTTTTGAATTTTATACTTTTAAATAAGAAATTGCAAATTTGTTCTAATAATATGATTTTGAATCTTTTAACTATGTACAGTCTTACCAGTAAAATAATGAATGATTAAAACAAGTTGAATTTAATCGTTAGCAGTGTATTTGTTAATGCTTAGCAGTTAAACATTGTCGTCTTATTGCCACACGTATAAGGTAAACACCGAAAAAATAATACAAGACGAAACAGTATTTTCCCTGTATACGATCAAATAGGTTTCCTTTTCAGACGACGGACAGAGTAAGCTGCAGTAAACAAGAATATCAATCACGCTCTGTTTGTATTCACAGAAACACAATAACATTTGACAGCAAACACGCCTAGTTGTGTTTGCTGATCGTAAATATCCTCGATGATGTTGTGAAACTATACATCACAACGATGTTGCTACAATGAAATATCGCTAACTGATGAAACTGTAAGTGGAAAAATACAGATAGTTTTACAGTTATACGAGAAAATCTATCATAATACACTTCCATATACAGTACTAAAATTTTTTTTAAAATTTAAAGAAATTAAAACCAGCAAATTTACTACAACTGTCCTAGGTTTTAGCAATAAACAACTACTAAAACTGTATATAATTTATTACCGTTTAGATATCACAAAGTAAAAAGAACGTACTAAGTAAATGATGGTATCGGAAGACGAATAACAAATATTTTGTCTCAAGATACTGAAGTAGGCAACTATCCTGGTTATGTCTATCTACTGCTCTTTTTGGTGATATTTGTCATGATTATATTATTGGTTCACAAGAATTCCTAATGTGCTTTCATTCATAACAAATCAGTCTGAAATACAGAAGGTTCAATGTGTATTTTCAATGGAAAACTCAATCATGCGAGGCTGCGTTCATATTTTATTCCCTTCAATACAGTCAGCGTGTGTTCCACAAAACATTTCAACGAAATTCAGAGTGCCTCTGTGTTCATTAAATGTAAATTCAGTTGTAAACGGTTGTAAATTCGCTGATCCGTTTCACTCTACCTAGAACGCAGGAGTATTGTATGTTAATAGAGGTGATTATTTTCATATCACGGGATCGGGAACACCGATGGAATAAAATACATGTAGGCCTATTCTTAAAAAAAAAATATTCTTAAAATTCTTAGATGAGATCAATTTAATTGCTTGGTAAACTAGGTGAAAAACTCCAAAGTTATACATTATAACCAATTAATATGATAACATTATTATATTTGGTGTGCTAGTAAATATAATTATGTTATATTTTATAAAAATTACATTAAACCCCCTTTATTCCACACAACAACAAACACATAATGACCTCAAAAAAGTGAATGTGGTGAAGTATATGTCTTTTGGCAATAAAGTAGCTCTAATAATAATAAACCATTAGATACGATTTAAGAAATAATGGCTGCTTAAAATATATTTGCATTAACAAATTACTAAACAATACAGTTTGTATCGTTGTATTCTTTCATAACAGCCTACAGCCGCGTCCACACCTAGCGAACGTTCGGCGAACATGTTCGACGAACATGTTTGTTGTATTGAATTGACATCGAACATTTTAAATGTGTGTAGTAATATTGTTCGACGAACAAAAACTCTTGTGTTTGGACGAACAAACTAGTGTTCGCTCTAAATGGCTCAGTCAACTCGCATTAGTTTGCAGTGAAGGTCGACCGTGACCTGGTGTATCGTCGTCAGCGACTAGCATGTGTTGCCGCGGCTTTTATTGTGATCAACCAGCATCAACCCCGTCCTCGCAGGTGGTGGCAAAGACAACTGTTACAGAGGAGGTATGAGTATAGTGGAGAAGATTTACGAACAGATTTGACTTATGGATGTTTGACTTATGCTCTCATGATTGGGCTTATAGTCGCAAGAGAAAATACTAACTTTCGCCAAGCAATAAGTGTTAACGATCGCTTAGCTGTTACTTTACGTTTCTTAGCCACAGGAGATTCATACCACTCGCTTATGTACTTATTTAAAATATCAAAACAAGCCATATCTGTAATTGTTCCTGAAGTATGTGCTACTCTAGTTAACTGCTTAAAAGATTATATGCAGACACCTTCCAACCCTGAAGAATGGGAGAAGATAGCAAGTGGATATAAACGAATTTGGCAGTTTGATCAGTGCATTGGAGCTCTTGACGGCAAACATATTGTTTTGGAAGCCCCAGAAAATAGTGGGTCTACGTTTTTTTAATTATAAAGGTCACCACAGCATTGTACTGATGGCTCTAGTAGACTCAAACTATTTGTTTGTATATGTTAATGTAGGGTGTCAAGGCAGGATATCTGATGGGGGTGTGTTTAAGAACTGTGATCTGTGGAAAATTGTGGAAAACGGAACTGGTTTGCCCAAAGACAAACCATTACCGGGAAGAATATTTGCTGCCCCATATGTTATCGTTGCGGATGATGCTTTTGCACTAAACAAGCATATTATGAAACCATTTCCCGGCCATCAGAAGAAGAGGAGTAAAAGGAGAATATTTAACTATCGTTTGTCTCGAGTACGAAGGTGTTCAGAAAATGCCTTTGGTATTGTAAGCTCTGTGTTCAGAGTCTTAAGAAAACCAATGCTTTTGAATCCAGAAAAAAGTACCCTTGTTACGTGTGCTTGCGTCTATTTACACAACTTTTTGCGCCAGAGCAAATCTTCAGTTAATATTTACACTCCTCCTGGTTCTTTAGACAGTGTTGCGCCTAATGGAAGTATCATTCCAGGACAATGGAGGAATGATAACGATGGACTACGGTCATACTACCCACTTCCTCGAATCGGACGAAAACCAAGTGAGTTAGCAAAGGCCGTGAGGGAAGAGTATGCAGTGTATTTTGTCTCAGACTTAGGCAGTGTTACATGGCAAAACGACTACACTTAAATTCGTGACTACAAAGTAGGCCTAAACATGTGCATAGGCTAACGTGAGTTACAGAAGAATCAAACTGTTGTGAAATAGAGCCTACTGTACTAATGCAACTTAAGTTTTTTTTTTTTTACAAATTAAACTCAGTTAATGTCTCTAATTTTGTGTTTTTCTAAAATCTTGTTGTAAACAAATTTATATTTCCATTTTAAAAGCGTAATTATACATTAGAATTTGAGTTGTAACTGAATATGAATAAATTATTCAATGAATAAATGTATGAATAAATTGTAAAGTTTTAATTATATTTCCATACAAACTTAATTGTTATAATGAGAAATTACCTGGGGCTAATTTTATAAAGTATCACAACCAACTAATTTTATTAAAACTAATTTAGGATATTGTAAATTAAAAATGAAAAATATTTTTTTGAAATTTTGTCTATTTTGATAATTTATTTGTAATCGATAAGGAGTACGTTGCCCAGAATTTTATTTTTTATTTTTAATTTTTTCATTTATGATTTACAAAAAATTAATTTTAATTAAATTACCTGTAAAAATTTATGATATTGGCCCCAGGCCACGCTTGCTAGTAGTGTGGCCAGATCAGAAATAACAACATAGATACTGATTGTTACTTCAGCTCAGTAATGTATACTGTACCATTTTTGTTTTGTTTAGTAAATAATAACTTCTTACCTTTTACTGCATGGTCATTTAATGTAAAAAAACACATGTAAAACTACACATATCAGAAATAAAAAAACACACAACGTTTAAAAATCGGGGAAATTGTTTGGTAAAGACAACAATGAAGTGTTCATCAGCAATGAGACATCATCAACTTCGCGCTCCGGTGGTTGAGAAGGTGCAGGTCTTGTTTCTTGGTTTGTGTTCACGGTGTGTCGTTCTTCAAACTCCTGCATTTCCGCCTGAAATATGAAATTGTCTATGGTATTTTGCAATCTGCATACTCTCACAGGGTTTTTTATCTTCCTCAGACGGTTGGCGATGTTCTCACCATAAACCGAGTATTCGTCCCTCAATTGTGGTTGTTGGTTTTGCATATCATTGAAGCAACTTTTCATGATGTTATAGGCTTCGTTAACTTGATTAGCTTTTACACGTTTCACTCTGCCACTTGCACTCAAACTTTCAAGTCCACTACCGGGTGTGCTAGATTTGGATATTGAACTTTTTAGAGAAGAATGTGGCTGAGGCGAAGAATTGTTGCTTATTTCCTGGTTGTCATTGTCAATGTCGTTCTCATTGTCACTGAAATCAGTGTCGACTGCGGGGACACTAGCCTGAGTCAAGCTTGAGACAGTTGATCGTGGAGTACTCTTGTCTCCTACTAGAAATTGTAAATATGCTAACCCCCACCAAGGCTTTTTTCTTCTCAGCTGTACCCATTCCTGATTTCAATGTAGTTCCTTTTCTCTCTCCTATACTGAGCTAAGATACTCTCTAATTTCTTCTTAACTTCATCTGCGTTGTTGATACCCAACTCAGTAGCGATGGCGGCATACGCGTCTTTCCTCTTATACTTATTTTTATAATCACTGTCCGATGTATCCCACAACAGCTTGTTTGATTCGTACAGTTGAATCAACATTATAACTTTGTCCTGATTCCAAAAATCCTTACTCATCTTCAATGCACAATAACTTATAACAACAACCAACACAACTAAGCACTAGAATACGTGCGCCTTCCACCAGCTACCGCCTCAGACTACCACGAACATCCGCCAGTTTTCGATCCGAGAGCGAACATTGTCTCTGAACAAAGATGGCGGCGACTAGGTCGTCAACCCCAAACGTTTTGTTCGGGGAAGCGTCCACACTGCAGAAAGGCAAACATTGTTCGCCGAACATCAAAATATTCGGACAATTATCCACGAACTGTTTGGTCAAACATGTTCGCCGAACGTTTGTCCAGTGTGGACGCGGCTTACTAATGTACTAAGGTGTGTACCAGTGAGACAGGCAGAACACAAAACATGGAAAGAACAAGCAAAAAGGAACAATACCAGAATTCGTTTTTAAAACGTGCTTGGACAACGATACCTAACAACTTAAACTGATAGTAACGAGGCTATTTGTATACACTGTGTTAAACATACGTTGGCAAAATGAATCTTAACAATCTTCGTCTTAAATGGAAGATTTCATTGTTTTACAATGCATCGAATCTTACGTAACACAATAAATGAGAATCGTCTTGTATTGAATTCTCAAGTCACATATCAAACATAAAAAATATTAACTTTAAGTAAAACTATTTGAGGTGTAAGTATAACTTCATGTATAATCTCCCAACCTATATGAATACAACGTTTAACTTCTAATGACGCCTTGTAATAATTGCTAAGCCCTGGACAGTAGGTTAGTTTGAATGACATAAATCAACATAATGAAGGTGTGCAGATGATGATTAGGCTTATAAACTCACCAGAATACAACGTCATTACAAGGTCTGGACAGTAGGTTAGTTTGAATGACATAAATCATCAGTGTTTTTACCTTTTTGGTAGCCTAAGGTGTCCAAAATTCCAAATGACCAGTAGGCCTACAACCTTGTGCGGTATTGCGTGTCTTCTCCGCTCACTTGATGTACAGTACGTGTGTGACCATGGTCGTAAAACTGTATATAAATATGTGTTTCGTGAACTGTGTTAAGTGTTTTGTAAATTGTGACAACCACTTCTGTGGGAAATGTTGAGACCTGTGACAGCGACTGAAGATGCATTGTAATTAATGCGAAACGCGTCTCGCAGGAGATAAGAATTTTGGACACCTTAGGCTACCAAAAAGGTAAAAATACTGATAATAAATAGGTGTCTAGGCTAATATCTACAGACATAAATCAATATAATGATGGTGTGCAGATGATGATTAGGCTTATAAACTCACCAGAATACAACGTCATTACAAGGTCTGGAAAGTAGGAAGTTCAGAGGTAGCTTAAATCAACATAATGGAGGTGTGCTGATAACGACGTTTAGACACTCCTCTCTCACCTGTACACAACGTCATTACAAGGCCTGGACAGTAGGATAGTTTAGGGGTTGCATAAATCAACATAATGGAGGTGTGCTAATAACGACGTTTAGACACTCCTCTCTCACCAGTATACAACGTCATTACAAGGCCTGGACAGTAGGATAGTTTAGGGGTTGCATAAATCAACATAATGGAGGTGTGCTAATAACGACGTTTAGACACTCCTCTCTCACCAGTATACAAGTTCATTACAAGGCCTTGACAGTGGAATAGTTTAGGGGTTGCATAAATCAACATAATGGAGGTGTGCTAATAACGACGTTTAGACACTCCTCTCTCACCTGTATACAACGTCATTACAAGGCCTGGACTGTAGGTTAGTTTAGGGGTTGCATAAATCAACATAATGGAGGTGTGCTAATAACGACGTTTAGACACTCCTCTCTCACCTGTACACAACGTCATTACAAGGCCTGGACTGTAGGTTAGTTTAGGGGTTGCATAAATCAACATAATGGAGGTGTGCTAATAACGACGTTTAGACACTCCTCTCTCACCAGTACACAACGTCATTACAAGGCCTGGACTGTAGGTTAGTTTAGGGGTTGCATAAATCAACATAATGGAGGTGTGCTGATGAATACGTTTAGACACTCATCTCTCACCAGTATACAACGTCATTACAAGGCCTGGACAGTAGGTTAGCTCAGGGGTTGCATAAATCAACATAATGGAGGTGTGCTGATGACGACGTTTAGACACTCCTCTCTCACCTGTATACAACGTCGTTACAAGGCCTAGACAGTAGGTTAGCTCAGGGGTTGCATAAATCAACATAATGGAAGTGTGCTGATGACAACGTTCAGACACTCCTCTCTTAACCAGTATACAACGTCATTAAGGTATTGAGCCAAAAAATACCAGCTCAAAAACTAATTCATTCAGGAAGGAAGATTTTAGCACTTTAGTTATCATAGTTAATAATCTAAGGGCCTCCTTATGAATTACCTCCTTTTTGGAACAGCAGAAAATAAGTCAAACCTTCCTGTTCAGTGTGCAATTTTGATTATCTCAGATGTAACTTAGTTTGTAGTTTTTTTGTCATATTTAAGTGAAATCAAAATTAATAATTCGCATATAGTAAAATATTTACTTAAGAAAATCAATATTATCAATCACTAATTATGTTATAGTTGAGCATCTAAATAGTGTAGTAGTTCATCATAATGCATTATTCTGTTGTAATTCATGTTATACACGGATATGCAGTTTATATTTCTTCATAAATCAATTATTCTCATTTCTCAAGGAAAATTTAATAACTTCGTATCCTAGAAAACCGCCCTTTCCGTTTCCAGACAGAAGAGACATTTTAACAGAAGTGTGTCCACAAACAACTAAACGTATGTAAAAATTAACTACAATACAAATTGAATTGAAATAAGAAAACAATGAACTGTTGCACTAAACTTTATCACTGTATTTAACTATCTTACTAATATTATAAATGTGAAAGTTTGTGTGTTTGTTTGTTTGAAGTTCAATCACGCAATAACTACTGGTCAGATTAAGCTTAAATTTAGTATGATGATAGCTTACGTTCCCGATTTACATATAGACATACCCTTATCTCAAAGATCCTTTCGAGCTGTGCCCCAGTGGCTCTGGAAATTTCCATGTTAACCTTATCATTATTCATATTTAAAATGAATTAAAAAATGTTGCAAGCTGTTTCAACTACACAAGTTGGTCCTATGATATTTAATAGCACAAAAAGATATAGGGTTTACCAATATTATAGGGGCGCAGCACTATATTTTTTTTGCATTTATGACAACATCTAATTTGAACCAAGCAGCAACAAAAAAAAGTGATACACAATGGGGACTGGAAATTAGTATTGTTTACAGTTATGCTTATGTTTTTGATTGATAAATGATTTGTGATATTGAGCAAATTTTTGGTAGGGCAAATTACTTTTTTCTATTGTTTAGATGCATTGGTA